CGCGAATCTCCGCGAATCGGCGCGGCACAGACAATTCGCTACCTATCTATTTTATTTCGTATTACCTCCTCCTGCAAAATCAACCCTCGCGACCGTTGCCACCCCCGCGCTTCCTATTGTCATATTATATTCGCTAACGTACGACATGCATCTCACTATCTAAACATGCCTCCCTCCTAACCCGCGGCGGTTTCATTCGAAGGAACAACAACAACCGGTTCCGCCCCTTCTGGAGACGCGCTCGCGCGCGCGCGTGATTAATTAATTATTTAAAATGAACACTCTTAGATCACGCGTCTCTCCCCTCCTCTCGGCCGAATGTGACATTCGCCGGCGGAGTTTCTCCCTCGGTGCGATAGGAAGTCGTCGGTCCCGAATAATTGTTGACAAATCTCCGGAGGAACTCCGGAGTCACTTGTTTGCGCGGCCGCTTGAAAATTCCACTCGCGAACACGGAGATTTCGGCGATTTCGTTACACTGCGCGAACGAAGGGGCTCCGACGACTCCGACGTCGACACGACGATCGCGTCGTCTACGTGACTCGAACTGCGACCGGCGAATCTCGATGATACACAGGGTGTCTCGAGAGGCAGGATATTCCGTATTCGGTTATTCGTAGCGAGTGCCGTTCAAACAGTACAGGCAATTTCAGAGGGCAGTTTCGGAGAGACTTTCGTCACCGCTTCAGATGCTTGACGAAATTTGTTTGTTTGCCGTGGCCGTGTCGATTTATCAAGCCCGCGGTAATCGACAAATTTGATCGTTGAGCTTCAGGATCGCAGTTTGCGACAAACTATGTAGAAAATTTCGCGGGATCCCGTCGCTATCCCGTCCAATTTCCTGAAAAAAAAATTGTGGACTTTGGCTGGGAAAACTCACGCGGAATCAGGTCGGAAGTGTGATGTTTCAAACAGACGATTCTAAGCGGGGAAAACCGCCAAACAAATACCGTTTGATCTGCGTGAAGCGTTTACCCGAAAGATATTTTCCGTTTCCAATTTTATCTTGGCAACAGAAACCGAGCGAGATATATACGAAACACTCTCTGAAAAAAAACATTTGCTCTTTACAATTATAAATATTTAAAAAGTGTAAATGGTCAAAAAGTGTATCACATATTTTCCGCATTTTTCGATCCGTTAAACCCAATAGTTGAAAAAAAAACGACTCCCCGCGGCGTTTCATAAAAGAACACCCGTACCCGAGGTAATAAAAAGGACGAGAGACGGAAAAGAATGAGAAAGTCGAGGATTAAAAACGGAAGAATGTAAAATCCAGAAATATCGCAAAAATTCGCACAATCTCATGAAAATGAGATTCCTGATTGGCGTCATAGCGGGGTAACTAACTAACATTGAGACAAATTCGGGCAGTCCGGGCAGAATTCACGCTGGCTTCGGCATAATCTTGAGAAATTTCCGCGCGGGAACCTTTAACGCCCGGATCACGTTGTCGTTCCGCTGTTATTTCTAACAATATTAACGTTTCGGCTGCCACTCGCGCTCCGCGGCCGGGCCGCTCCTTCAAAACACCCCATACGTACACACAGCGAGTGAGGGAATCCTGGAAAAGAGGAGCCGAGCGCGAATCTCGGCGAAACTTCTCGCAGAGCTCGCGTTATTATCGTCAGACCGCGGCACAATTTGCACGAGGCTACCGCAGCCTCGGCACAATGGTCGTGCATACGTTACTCGCTCTTCCCGGCCGTTTGACGCGAAACGGACACGAGGGAACTCCGACGACGACGATCCCATCATCGTCCTTGTGTCTCCGCGGCCGCCGTTTTTCTTCTCTCTCGTCTGATCCGCGTTCTTATCGATGCGGCATGAGCCGACCGTTCTCGAAGTGTTCTCTCTCACGATAACGCAATTCGAGGAAACTTCTCCGACGGACGAGTATCGAGAGGCAGGGGAGGGAAGGGGGAGGAATATACGAACGAACGAGAGCGTTAGCGTCACTCGAATATCTCTCTCAGGGAGCCCGGTCAAAGGGATGTCGGGCTGCGCGCCGGTCTATCTCGGATATCGGAAAAGTATTTGCGGCGCTGCGCCGTCTGAAATCCCCGCGCGATTCGCTCCCCCCTCCCCCCGTCGCCGCCGCGCTCGCCCAACGGGTATTCCGTCATTCTTAATCCGCCTCTCTTCTCCGCCGGCGAATTCGCCGGGATTCGCGTCATTAAAAATACCGCACGTCCTCTGGCAAGACGATAAGTACAGCAAAGGGTGTGATCGTCGACGAGAGCCCTCCAGTTTAGGCGCACGAGCTCCGCGATCTTTGTACAGGATGTTATCGATTTTAGACGCCCACCTGAAGCATCTCGGAAGAAACGCGTTGTCCTGAGAGGCGAGGGTCTGAACAAGGTCAAAGTCTAAGGTCGTCGTTTAAACGTCCTCTTAGAATCAAACGAATCTCATGTTGGAACATTTTCTTCGGACAATGCATTTCTTCCGGGATAATTCTGGTGGCCACTTAGGATCGGTCTCACCCGGTATATTAACCAGACCGCTTCCGTATGACGTGCCTGAAACGAAGGGGATGTGGAACCGCCATGTTATTTTGAAGTTGCTCATAAGTGAATAAATCTCACCGAGCAGCAGCCATTGCTGAAATCAATATTAGAGAATTGATATCATGCGATAATATAATTCGAAACTTGAAAGTATTAGGTAACCAAAAAAATTCGCATGACCTTGTGTGATAAAAATTAAATAGAGATTAAATAAAGATAATTCTTCAAAGACAAACAGGTTATCAACAAGGCGTCTCGCTCAACGGGAAAATTCTCTCATTAAGAGGAAACTCGCACAAAAAGTACACACAGCCTTTCACACCATTGCGCGCACTCAAAATGATGATGGCGCCTACGTCTCATTATCATTCCATCGACCAGAGTTAGTCTAATTAGTATTCGAGGCTTGTGGGCACACCATGAACTTGTATACACAGACTGCGCCTTCTCACACAGGCGAGAGATACAGAGACAAGATGTGAAGGGACAAAGTTATATTCTCCCTTCCTCGTCCCCACACAGGCATGCCACCTTCGTCTAGCTTCTTCCAAGCTTCGGAGTCAAGCCAGACAATATCTCCGACAGAGGCTATCCTTCTCAGAGGCTTCGCAGCCTCTGGTGGAGCGCTCGATCTATGTACACGAGTCTATCGGATACACACAGCTCCTGTCGCTGAAGACTCGAGGGGTTCAAGCCGGGAGGACACTTCGCGGAAAAAGGCGGGGGTGGGAGGGGGCAAACGGTGCGTGGTGTCGTGGCAAGGAGATCTGGTCCGCTGACGCACGCTTTATTCGCCACGATAACGGTGAATGTGCGTATTTGCACGGCGAATCGCCTTTTCTGTTTTCTTTTTCTCTTTCCCTTCCTTTTCCTCCGCCAGAACTCTCGTTGCGCGGAAGCACTTTTGATTAAAAACTCGATGGTGTACGGCAAAAGAGCGAGCAGCGCAGTAACACGCCGCTGCCACGGGCAGGTAGAGGAGAAGGGCGGCAAGTGGCGGTGGGGAGGGGGGGCAGGGGGTGAAGAGAAATCGCCTAATGGGTAATTCATTCTCGGGGGAGGAACAAACGACGAAAGTCGAGGAAAAATATTCGAGTGGCCAACGATCCCGAGGATTCGCGCTCGGAACCGCTTAGTCGATTGGCAAGGAGGAAGGGAAGCAGGTAGGGGGATAAAGGGAGAAGGAGAGAGTGAGAGAGAAACTTCGCTCGATCGCGCTCTGCTCCTCGCGACCCGATCCTCTGAAGGTCGTCAGAGTCGAATCACAAATCCCGGCGACGGGGAATCCGTTCTTTTTACGTGATTACTTTAGACCGGTGCGCCGTGCGGTTACGCTGCGCCGAGTCGTAACTCTCCGGTGTCGCGATGTTGATTGAGTGTCCGACATTGAGTTAATCGTAAGAAGAAATGTTCGATGTCGATGATCGAGCGTCTGCCGTCGGCGTCGCGCTTTAACCCCTTGGATGCAATCTCCTCGTTCGCTCTTGACGATTGTTCGACCTTAATTTTCCCGCGTTACGTTTAGACGTACGTCGAGAGAGAGAGAGAGAGAGAGAGAGAGAGAGAGAGAGAGAGGGAGAGTTGAGCGCGTGTATAATGCGAAGCGTATGGGAAAAACAGCCGAAGAGAGAACGATGCAATGATAATCTGTCGCGTCGTGTACGATTTTCTCATCTGAGTTCCTGTCCCCGCGAACCGTCGGAAGAATCTTCGCGACTTGGTATTAACGACTGACGCGCTTAATGAACTCCATTTAACGTCAACGAGAATTTAAATGCACGCTCTTTTATTCCGTGAACCGCAAGAAAAAAGCAATTGGTCCCGTACTTGCGAAATGATCGGACATCGGAACGAGAAATTTTTGGCGAGAACGTCGGTCGTGCGTACATATTTATATGTATGTATGTATAGGGTGTTTCTAAATTCCTTTAACACATTGTTTTTAAATTCCTGTCAGAAGTCAAACGTCATTGTTTCCACATAACAGTTTTCACAGTTTCGAGAGTCTCGGGAGGGATACGAGTGCTTTCGCAAGTATCGAAAAATAGGCAAAAATAGAGTTCGTGTCATTGCTTGCATTCAATCGGATGGAGAACATTGAAGATTTCTTGCATATTGAACGTGACATTTTTTTAGTCAGTTCCAAATGTGGTTGAACCTGATTTTTAAATGACAAAATGATCATCAAGGTCAATCAATTATAAGAGTCATTAAAAGCACAAAATTTTCTATAAATTTATCGGTCAAATATTAAAAGGATTGATATCGATATAAGCAGTGAATATTATAGTCTTAACGCAATATTATTAGACTTTAAATTCGTTGATGCTGGGTTTAAAACAAATAATCAGAAACGTGAGTCTCAGTTAAGGATTAACAAATTACTCCGATAGAAAAATAAAACTACGTACTAAATATGTGACATATAATATTTTTTAAGGAATATATTTTGCAACTCTAGAAACTGATTTTATCAAGTGAAGTATGCTACACGTAAGTAGTAACAAATGACATCCCATATATTTCTGCTTAAATATAACTCTCAAGTGTTTGTAAAGTGGAAAGAAATTAAAGAGTATAAAATAAATTTGTTCCGTGTCTTCGTCATGAAATGTGTATCTTTCAAGTTTAACCCGGAGCCATTACCTTAATTCAGTTCCACGCATTTCCGCGGACGCAAGTGTCTACGACCGCGAAGGATTCGCTCGAAGAGCTCGTCGAAGGAATGTAGAAACACACTGCACACACACACACACACACACACACACTCACGTAAGCATTCGTTAACCCAAGGCGAGCAACGCAACCTTGTAGACATAACGGCGTGCATAACGCGAACGCGAACGCGAACGTAAGAAGGCGCGGTCTCGCGCGCGCGCGCGCGCAAACGGCGGGTCTCTCGCGTACGAAACACGACGGGATGATTCGCGCGGCATCCAAAGTGTTAAATCACGTTAATTAGTCGAGACAGAGGAGCCGCTCGAGCAGTTAGCGATCGCGTCTCGAGATCGATCGTCCGGCCTAATTCACTACTGCCAGGGCTTAAAGAGGAAGCTCGACGAAAGGAGGCCGACGAGGGTCGCCCATCCGACCAAGAAGTCGAGCGCGTCCCTCCTGGTGCCGGCGGCGCCGCCGTTCACGCAAGTCTCCCGAATGCTGACGATCTTCAGGCCACGGCGCCCTAGCAGATTGTGAACGCCTCGTTTGTCGCTCTTCTGCAAGGTGTGCTCCCGCGACAACAGGAGCGAGTAGAGCTGAGTAAAGTTGGGATTGCGGGAGCAGAAAGTCAACACCATGTCCGAAGCCACGGCCTTCATTACGTGCACGCTGCCCGTGAACTGCTTGTATTGCTTCTCCGCCAGGGTACCTGCCAATTAGATCAGTAACCGGTTAAAAAGCGCGCTGTCGGAACGCTATAGAGCACTCGTACTATCAAATTTCGCCCGCTTCCTCGAGAGTCGGCCCCTGAGGCTCCGGGTTTCATCGAGCGGAATCTGCCGCGCGACCGGAAGCTCGTACAAGAAAGCGGAAATTAATGTGTCGTCGAGATGCCGACAACGTATTTATCTCCATGTTCGCTGATGTGAGTGCTCTCTCTCTCTCTCTCTCTCTCTCTCTCTCTCTCTCTCTCTCTCTCTCTCTCTCTCTCTCTCTCTCTCTCTCTCTCTCTCTCTCTCTCTCTCTCTCTCTCTCTCTCTCTCTCTCTCTCTCTCTCTCTCTCTCTCTCTCTCTCTCTCTCTCTCTCTCTCTCTCTCTCTCTCTCTCTCTCTTTCTGTGCTTTTTTCCTTTTGTATTTTATAAAACGTATGAGTGGCGAGCAAGAAAAGACTAGAGTTGCGAGCTGTCCGATTTTAATCTGAATCCTTACTGTTCGAATTCAACCTCCGCCCCCTAGATTGATTTCTACACCCAGGAGACCTTTTCGCGATGACCGTAGTAAATGCTGTATTTTTTAAATAATTTTTCCAAATATATTTGGTGTCCATGGTATAATCAACAAAAAATATCTTACTGAAGACATGCGAATATCTTCTGAGAATTTTAGTGATATATTTCTTAGCTTCGAGAGCTCTGATGTCGACGAGCTATCGGTCGAGTGGAGAGGGTGAAAGAGAGAGAGAGAGAGAGAGAGAAAGAAAGAGAGATATCTTTAAAAGACCAAACTACTGTCGCCGGGGATTTGAGGACTAAAAAAGATTTTAAACTACTGAAATTTGTAATATTTCTACTGTTATCTGTAAAATGGTATACAGTTGATAATTATACGCGGTTGGCTCAAAATGCACGAGCTTTTTAAATACAGATCTCAGATGTTGACAGATGTTGACAATCTCAGAGAGTCATATTTAATTTATGCGTTAATTAATTTCTTTTAAGACCCGGTGAGTAGAAAGCTCCAGGCTCGAGGTTTCTAGCTGAGGGAGAGACGCTATATTTGTAGCGACTCTTGAAAAGAATCAATTAACGCTGAATTAAATCATTAGAAAGAGGATAAACAGGAGGGTTCTAATATATCGTTTTGCTGCACGAGTGTGACCAATCTTTTCCGATATATTTTTTGATGCTAAACACAAAATCTTTATCCACATCTTTTCTCCCAATTTTTAGGAAAATGGTATCAAATGCAAGATACAGTTACTTACTTTCAATAAAATGTAATATTAAGATCGAACGAAATTTTCTTTTTGTTAATTACATTCCCATTAATTATATGGGAGAACAGCTATTAATAGATAACTATATCTCCAAAACGAAAAATCATATCGACACAAAAGAAAAGACGTCATAAAATCCTTCAAAATTGTTATTTTGCTCCATTTTTCTAAAAATCATGATCCGATAACCAAATTTGGATGTCAGATTTGTGGTCAAAGGGCAAAAATACGTCAGAAATGACGATTCGCTTTCGCAAAGCAAAAAGAGATCAAAATTTCGAATTCGTATGTCAGGATCGGACAATGTAATTGACATTCAGGGTAGTTTGACGTGGAAGATTAATCCGCCGCATACATCGCGGTGTATCGCCGGAAAAATATCCAAAATAATCGGCGCGTGTAGTATCACACATTCAAACATGACTATCCTCCCGTGGTTTAAAATTATTCGCACTAATATTCAACTGCGATTGGCTGCGATAGACCATATCAGTAATCACGTTGTTAATTAAGGCTCAAATTCGATTCGAATGGAATTTCGTCAGTTCGATTCAACATGGAAAATTTTTGATTCGCGTACTTCCAGAAGGAATCTTCGAAATGAATATCTTGTACTTTATCTGACATAAATATTTCCAGTTTTTTATTTGCATGTTGTCGCGTTGTTATTTGTCGTCTACCGGGATTTGATTTTTTCGTTCGCACTTTTACATTCAAACGGCCGGCAGCATGCTACATTGTACAATGGACTCCTCCGGAGTCGAGTTAATCTTCTTACGGTATTTGTAAAACGATCAAACAGCCCCGTCGAGTACGAGTGTAACGATAAAAGCTGATGTGAGTGGCACGAAATTAAAAAGAAACCCAAGCGTTTTCGAGAAGAAATTCTCTCTCGTGGCGAGTAACAAATAGCGCGCGATACCATTGTATTTTAGTATCATTTATCACGGACCCGGCACTTTTATCCGAACGCATTTAATGGACTAAGTCGCTGCTTTGACAAATGTAAGTTTCAACCACTTCGCCGAACCCTCCGTCCACGGAGGTACAAGCCGTGCGAGGAAAACGTGTGTTTAATCTACGCAAAATAACTAATGGCTTCTGACCGGCTTCTGGTCGATCGTACGAACTTGGGAATCTGTTTTTCATCGTGTTATCATCTCCGTCTGTTCGGCGGCCCGGGACACACGGAATAATACACGGAAAATTTTGTGGGATTTAACCGGGACCTCTCAGCGCGATTTCCCAAATAATTGCAGACCTTGGTTGGTGAAATTATGAGAAATCGAGTTAGAAATGTGTAATTCCGTTGGGAAATCCAAGTAGATTCATCTGCCAAACTTGTCTGTCAAATTATCTTTCACTTCATCTTTCTTCGTTTCGTTTTAATTTCACTTCACGTTACGTTTCATTTTACGTTAAAAATGAAGAAAATATACAAAATGCCATTTGAGTATTTGCACTTTATATTTATAAATATTCAAAACGAGTGACAATACTCGGAATATTTGAAATTTCATTTGATTTTTTATTTTATTAATCAATGGTCGGTATAAAAAAAGAATTTCCCGGATATTATTAAAAGCGTGTTGATTTGACCCATTAAAAAGAGGACTGTGAATTTCCACAATATTCCCGCCCCAATTGTGGACAGAAAAAATCCGTGTTTAATAACTTTGCATAAAACAAATCCCCGAAGTGGGACAAAAATGTAATTTCTAATTGGTGTCACAACGGGATTATCAATTTCGGGACAAACCTGGCCGTTCCGATCGAAATCTGCGCTGCACCTGCGTGCGACATCGAGAGAGTTTTGGCGTAGCATCCTGAGAAATTTCCTTCGCAGGATGTTCCTTCTCGCGAGATCGATCCGATTTGATCGAAATTAATGGAGACCGCGACGTTGACGATACCGCTCGTTGGCGCAATTCGCAACGACACGACTCGACTCGACTCGACGATCATCCGTGGAAACGTAAAACGCGACAGTGCGAACGGGCGTACCGTAGAAATATGTAATATCACGCCTCATTACGTAGTTGAGAAAGCACTTTAACGTTATGAAGGGAAATATACGGAGACGAGACAGCGGGTGTGCACGTATGTATGTATCTACACGCGCGATCGCGAGCGACGCGCTCTCGTCGTATTCACGGTACCATCACCGTCAGATGTCGGAGATATTTCAGCGGGAATAGCACTTTAATACCTTTTAGCATTTAGAATCAGCCGCGTTTTCAAATCGACTCGTGCACACGCGCTTGGGAGCGCTCTACTTCTGCGACTCGGCCGCGGGTCGATCGCGTTTGCGCGACGCGGCTTTGGCTTCCCGGCGAAATTTCGGACGTCGGAAAATTTCGACTCACTTCGGCATCACCGTCTTTCTCAGCCGGTTCGCGAGAAAAAAAAGAAAGAATGCGAAGAAGGAGTCGCGAGATCTCTCGAAGTGTATGCACGTGTATGCACGTGTATGTGTGCGCATGTGGGAGGATAAGAGGGAGGAGAGATATACCGGGTGGATCGTATCGTCTCGGCATCCGCAAATTACGTTGCACGTAGATTACGTTAGAATTCCATCGCGAAAAACTGCCAGCGGATCTTTCTTTTTAGTGTCCAAAGTACGGCAGCTGCAGCCTGATGAGATTCCCGGCCGAAGTCAGGGGAAGTTAAATTTAGTGAGAGAGAGAGAGAGAGAGAAAGATGTTGGGAGAAAGTTTCCATTCCGCCGTCTATAAAACGGCAAAAACATTTCCGTGGCGAGTCACGGAAGAGTCCCAGCGCTTCCGACTCGCGGAGCGACTAATCTACGGAATTGATTTAACTTTCCGTAATAAAGTCGCTTACGTCGCGCTGATGATGAAGCGAGCGTCAATCGCGCTTACGCGCGTCCCCGCGATATCGTGCAATCGCTTACGTGCTTCTACACTGCGGATTTCAACGCGACGGATTGCGCGCTTCTTTCCGTCCCCAATGCCGCGTCGAAACGCGGCCGACGTCCGTTCGACGCGAGAGAACGTAACTTGTGCGAATTTTTTGGAAACAAGTCCCCTCGCTGCATCCGGACAAAAGTGTCTGACTCGTTTTGAAACTCAATGTATACTTGATTGCGAAACGGTTCGAACGTTACTTTCTTTTTTCTTCTTTTATTTCGATGCAATTCGGAACGCAGCCGACGTCCAATGAGAAAACTCGTCTCCTGAGATTCACTCGAAAACAAGTTCCCCTATTGGACATCGGCTGCGTTCTCCGGACGCGCTGCGTCGGGGGTAAAAAAGAGAAGTGTGTTTGTGAACTGTATTGAAAGCAAGTGCACACGTATGCTCACCTTACGCTCACCCGTTAGATCGAGGATAACTAAAAATGTTGGACCGGCCGCAGCCGTTTCGAGATACGCTCTCCTCATGACTTGTTGATTAAACGAAAAAACGGAAACGATGTTTCACGGCAACGCTGTGACACTTTGACAGCTTGACATTTCGTTCACGTCGGTAAAATCGGTTATTCAAAGAAAAGAACAGCAGAGGGAAATAACTCGCCGCCTCTGCGAATCAGAATCGCTTCGTTTGATTAATCATACATCAACAATTACAAAGTATATTACGTATTTTACAAGATAGATACAGGTTTTCTAGTCGTTTTATTCACATCAATTTTATGCGATAACCTCTTAATAAAGCCTTCTTAATACCCTTGTTCTTCTCTCCTTCGTAAA